TCTTCAATGTTTTTTTCAAAACAAACTTGTTTTAATTAAACTTGAATTAAATTTATAAACAATAATCTCATTAATTTTTACCAAACATTAAAACAAACATTAAAACAAACATACAAACAAACATTTAAAATAAACTTGAATTACAATTCCAACTTGTTTTAATTAAACTTGAATTATTTTCAGGTTGAATTAGACTTTTCATTGGAGCCTTCTTCTTCCTCATTTAACAACAACAACAATTCACAACAAAATTGTTGTGTTCGTCTCTTAATTCGTTCTCCTAGCGGTAATTAATTTGTCGTATATTTGTACAATAAAAATTCTAAGAAGAGCCTCTTCAGGAAAACAATCCTAAATTTCTAAAAAAAAATTTCCGGAAACTTATTTTTCCTGAAATCTTGTTTCTATTAGGTGATTCTGCTCAATTGTTTCTTTCAACCGGCACTCCAACAGGAAGTTTTTGTGCAAAAAATTCGAGTCGTTGTGGACATGGCCAGTGGTCGGTTAGAGTGAATGATGGGGAAGAACAGCGTTGGACATTGGATGGTGTTGGATCTCTTCATTTTCGTGTTTTGATGATGAGGGGAGGAGGAGGAGGAAGGTTAGGGGAAGAAAAGAAAGAATTTTTTTATAATGAAAAAAATTTTTAGAGGACATTACGGGGACAATGCACCGTGTGAATGGAGACTGGAATTGGCAGACCAAGAATTCCTTCGTGTCCCAGCAATAGCCACGTGTCCGCTGATGGCAATTATGATGGCAAAGCAAAAGCAGAAGAGAAATAATTAATTTTTAAAAATTTTTTGAGGTGAATAAAAATAAAAAATCAAATAAAAAAATAATTTTAATTCCTTTAATTTTTATTTTTTTGCCGTTGTTTAACTAAAAATAATTTTTAAATATTTTTTAACTAAAATTTGGGAACAACGGCATTTAAGTATCTTTCAGCTATTTATGCTATTTTTAATGTAAATTAAAATGGAGTTCGAACTTTGTTTTTAAGATTTAATATTATAAACATGTTTTTAAGCTTAAAAACATGAGAGAACAATTAAAACCAGAATAAACTTTTTAACTAACTTGGGAGAAACAAGCAAGCAAAACAAGTTTTAAGTTTATTTATAATGCAGCCTTATAAAAAAATAAGCTTGAATTGTAAAACAAGTTTTACTAAAAACAGAAATTGAATAAAGTTGGGAAAAATATATTTCAAAACAAGTTGCAAAAACATTTCTTTTCACAACTTGTTTTTACAACTTGTTTGTAAAAACAACTTGTTTTAAAACAAGTTTTAATGTTCGAACTCTAAATTAAACAAAACACAAATATGTATCACTCCTCAGGTCTTTTATATTTTCTTCATCTTTTATACAAAAACAATTTAATACAAAACAAATAAAACAAAATTCAAATTTGTTTTTCTCGTTGTTTTTTCGGGTCATTCACAAAACTAAAAATAAATTAAATGTTTTTCTAAAAAATTTTCTGTTTTTTATTCCTCATTCCATCAAATATCTTTTCTCAAAATTATCTTTCTCAAAAATAATTTTTATTTCGTCTTTATTTTGTTTATAATCTTTTTTTGTATAAGCCTTTTATCTTTTTTAAATAAATATTTTTTGGAAGGATTTTAAATATTTTAATTGAGAGGGTATTATTAAAGGTTGTTGTGTTTATTAAAATTAAAACATAAAATAATGTTGGGAGTGTTTGGATGCAAAACATGTTGCAAAACAATGTTTTTCCAACTTGTTTTAAAACAAGTTTTAATGGAAATAAACCTCAATCAAATAAGTTTGGGAAAAACAATTTGTAAAACATTGCTTTTCCAACTTGTTTTACAAATAATTTTTTTGTCAAACTAAAGTAATCTAAATGTTTTTCTGAAATTTACAACTGTAAAACAAGTTGTAATGTTAATTAATTAATTTAATTCTAGTCAATCAAAAATCAGCAAAAATTCTTTTGCAAAATCAACACAATTTTTCCAATTGCAAATTACATGATATTAATTTGGGGAATACCTTAAAACATTTTTATTTGATTAATCATTAGTTTTTATAAAAAAAATTCCCTTTAATTTTACCAAAAAAAATTTTTACGCCCAAATTCCCTTCTTCAAAATTTTCATCATCATCTATCTACAAATTGGGGAATTTATTAAAAATTTATTTTTGGTCCCTTTTCTTTATAAAATACAAAATTCTCGTCTTTTACACAAATATTTTTTAAATAAAATAAGACAAAATTCCAACCAAGCGTAACCACTGAAAATGAGGAAGTACGCTTGAACGGGACGCTAAGGCGCGGTCCTATACTATCCAAAAAATAATAAAATTGATAAAAATTTGTACAAATATTTCTAACACTCTTAACTACTCCCAGCAAAAATTTCAGAATTTTAGGCTTGGTATTTGGAAAATTATAATAAAAAATGCGCACTTTTTGGGGTAAGATAAGCTATTTTTCTTGCATTTTTGGCCATAACTTTTTAAATTTTGAACCAAAAAATATGAAATTTATAAGACTATTAGTCAACACTCTCCAAAATATTTCTGCAAAATTTCAAGAAAATACAACCACTTCTTCCTAATAAAATTTAACTTCGCGCCGTAAGTGTCTCGCGCCGAAATGCGCCTTGCGCACGTTTATTAATTTTATTTAATTATTAGAACGTATAGAATTAATGCTTAACATTTTTTTATTTAATTTATTTAATGCTAAAATACATCAATTTTTAAAGGAAGAAGAAAAAAAAATTTTTTCCTTCATGTAAGAGGAAGAGGGGAAGGAAAAAGGAAGATTGGGGGGAACATGCATGCGTGGCTTTTCAGAAGGAAAAAAATTTTTTTTTCCTTTTTTAAGCCTTTTCCTCTTATTAGAGATTAACCAACGTTAAAAACATAAAAAAGAAGAAGCATTAAAAATTATTAAAATAAAAAAAGAAATCATTGGAAAAGGAAAAAAGACGCTTGAAAAAAGTTTAAAGTCCAAAACAAAGTTGTGTAAAAATTAAAATAAAATAAAAACGTGGAGAAGAAAAATTGGAAGAAGCAGATAAATAGAGGGGAAAGTACAAAAATTATTTTTTAAAAATTGGAATTAAAGTTTATTTTGATAAAATAAATAATTGAAGGAAAGGGGGGATAAAAGGATATTTATTTTTTCGAGTAGTTATTAAAGATAGTTGATGATATCTTAGAAGTTGGATAAATTGAGGTAGCGTATTTGCTAAAATAATTACCCATGGAAATTATTTCTTCACCTTTCGCTGGAGAGGGTAATTATTTGAGATAATAATAATTTTTCTAATGACCTTCGGTAGCCCCAGATAATGTGAAACACCGTCCGAATGTAAAAACATCATCCACTTTTACAAGTAATAAATTCAATTTGTTATGTCGATATTATGTTTTTTACATAATTTTAGACCTTCAAAAATTTTATTTTAAAATTTGTTTACTACATATAAGTGAAATGAATGGGGGTGTTTAACTAATGTGTGAATAGTATTGACTGTGCTTTGTCTCTACATGTTCCAATACCAATATTCTGTTCAAATTCTGAAGTGTTTTATGAGATTTTCTGGACCCGTGTTAAAAATATGAATTAACCCAAACCCCAAAAATATTTTTTTCATTCAAAAATATGTCCCATGCTTCACCGATTTTTTTTTAAATTTTATTTTCTTTAAAATTTCATTTATTGAAATATACACAATTTTTTGTGTATATAGCTTTATGTTTGTACTCCCCCCTCAATTTGTAGTATTAACATCTGATAAAATTTCTTTTCTCTTTAACATACACAATTTTGTCAAAGCTTTCAAGCAACTACATATTCTATGCCCTGAAGCTATGTAAGCATTAACATTGGCATTTTTAAAAATCGATAGACAAGGCTAGTAGTTTTGCCATAAAAGAAGTATTCCTGTCCATTTCACGTTAAAACATCTTCCCTTTACCCATCTGTTTTTTGGTGTCAGTCAACTTTATAGGAGCTTCACAAGGAAGAAATAAAAATTTTGGTTGGTCTTCGATTATTTAAATAAATTCGTCATAAATTTTTTGAAATAATTTAAATAATATTTTATTGTTACTAATAAAATTTGTAGCTTAAAGGAGGCCTAAAAAATTAAATTTTATTTTTCCTTCTCATACCGTATCCCTCCTTATAAATTTCCTCTAAACTGTGCCTGAAACTCTTTTGTTGAAGCAAAACTTTCTCTTGCTAAACAACGTTTGCTTCTTATTTTATAGAATAGCCAGAAGAGTGTCTAAAGATATGAAATTTTGCTAAGATGTTGTTAATAGTGTTATCTAATAATACTGAAAATTTCAGAATTTTTGGTTAAATATTTCAGAAGATATGGTTGAAGAGGTAGCGCCTATTTGATAATTCTGAAAAATGCAGACTTACTTCAATTTTTCACCCATAACTTTTGAGATACTTAACCAGAAATTCTGAAATTTTCAGAATTATTAGATAACACTATTAACTACATCTCTGCAAAATTTCATAGCTCTACCTCAATTTTTGGCTCATTTATAGACAAAAACCTGACACTACTTTTCTCAAATCTTACCAACCTCTAAATCAATTTGTTTACAAATTTAATTCTTAGAAATTTATTTAATAAGAATTTCAAAGGTTTTCCAAGACCAAAAGGAGTCTAAAACATTTTTTGTTATAATTTTTCTATTCTTTTCTCTATGCCTTTGTTGACGTTTTTTCCTTTGTATGCGCGCTTGTCCCCATAGCTTTTTCTTTTATTTTTTATTCATACGCGAGCGGCATTTTCCTCCTTTTCTTTCATTTTATCTCAAACATTGTGCCATTTTCCCTTCAATATCAGCGGCATTTTCTTCTCTTTTTTCGTTTTTTTTATTTACCGTGCCGGTAAAGCTAAAAAGGTTTTTCCCTTTATTTTGCTTTTATGGCCCCGCATTTTTCATTTTTCTCGAAATTCACGTTCCTTTAAGGAGAGAAAATTAGTAGAGAATGCCACCTCCTTCTAATAGCCATGTCAGAGGTGGAATAGCAACAAATCCGATTATTATTTTTACAAAAATGGTGTCAACATTGTTATTGATAATACCCTTAATGAGTGAATATACGTTGGGTATTGAAGTAGGTTTTTTAGGTTTTTAGGTTTTTTCCCAGTTTTATGGACATAACATAATATAGGCATTCAAGGCTCACTCAAATAAGCTTAATGCTCCTTCAGCTTCCTTTTAAAATTTTTCCTGGGAAGGGAACGAATCTTGAAGGTTTCCCCGGTTTTTTATTTTCCCCTTTTTAATTAGTTGAGGAGCAATTCTCCTCTATTAGGGTTGTTTTGACAATGTATAATAGAAGGATGGCCCGGTTTCCATTCAGATTTATCCCTATCATTTATCCCTATCATCCAACCTGATACTTTTTTGGAATGTGGGTAGGGTTGTGAATCCTGGGAATTCCCCAATTACATGATATATGGATTTGACTTTTTTCGGATCTGGATATCCGGACTTTTTCCCATCTGAACTTTTTCTGACCCCTAAATGTGAGGCTAATTAAGAGAATATTAAAAAAATTAGGAAAAGATTAACAAAACTTTCTTCTAAAGGTTTTCACAAATCATTTTCTTGTACATTTAAACGAACCTGGAATTCACAACGCACACAAAGTTGCTAAACGTAATGGATTTATTAATCGAGGACCTGTATGTTTATTTTCGAATTTTTTAAAATAATTTTTTAAAGCTTCTCGGCTCTGATTCAGAATATCATTTTGTCCAACCCGCACTTTCTCATGCTAGAACTCGACGTTCAATAGGCCACCATACTAAATTGGCACGCGATCCTCACGTAAGGAATTTTTAAAATAAATTTTTGTGTTGATAAATTTGCGGACGGATTATTGCGGACAAGACCAAGATTTCAATTATTTTCGTGCCAGTCTGTTATAAATTTTCTGATTTTTTACTAGAATTATTAATTGTTAGCTTCAAGTCAGACCTCACTTTAATTGAGGCTAAAGAAAATTTTTCCTTATAATGAGAGGTAACTTAAATAGAAGGGAGCAGGCCAACGTACCGCAGAGCTATATCTTCGTTCAAAATAGTGAAATCCGGGACGCCTTGGTAAGGTACGATGCATCTCGACGAGCTGAATCGAACCATGTCAGGGCGTCCCGGATTCGACCATTTTGAACGAAGTTATAACTCTGTGATACGTTGGCCTCGCGGTACGTTGGGGTGTACCCTAAATAGAAGGTATCCCTTAGGGGGCACCGTCCCTTAGTAGCTAACCAAAAATATAAGAATTAGAGTTGACTTTATATAGACAAATTATGTTAGTAAGCGAGTGTCCGCAAACTTGATCAAATGATTTTTATTAAAGATGATTTAATTATTTTTTAGATCAAATATGTGGAACAAATGACTGGTAGTTTAATAAAAAAAATTTTATATTTCAAAAATAATTAAAAAGGTTATAAACGACTCAAACGTGGTTATCGTCCATTAGCTGACAGACTTCAAGAGCAATTGGATTTTACTGCAGGTATAGAAATATTAAAAATTAATTTATTAAAAATTAATGCTAGTTGTAAGGGCATTTTTTATTTTAAAAATTCTGTGGCATTATTCTTCCTAAGATAAACGGCAATTTTTTTAAGTATTTCAACCTTAGTTTAAATAAATATGTAGTCAGATTTTCAATGCTAGCCAATTAATTAATTGCGACTCTTGTTATATCGTTACCTCCCCCTCCCCAGAGCATTGAACGACGGTTACAATAATTTGACGAAGGTTCTTAAGCTAAGTTCTGTTGTATTGTAGCCGTACAGCGGGCTGTTTTAAGTCAAATATAAAAATTAATATTCTAATCCCTCCCCTTTTTTAAAGTTCACTCCCCTTCTGATCCACTATATCAATACCAATGGTACCTGAAAAACGACGGTCAATCCCAAGGCAAACCCCGGTTGGATTTGAACGTAGAAAAGGCTTGGGCGCTTGGATATACAGGCAAAAACATAACTACAGCAATAATGGATGATGGAGTTGATTATATGCATCCGGACTTGAAATTAAATTTTAATGCTGAAGCGAGCTACGATTTTAGTTCTAATGATCCCTATCCATATCCACGTTATACCGATGATTGGTTCGTTGTGTTACAGTCGAATTTCATTATAAGACACACAAGAATTAGGATACTTAGTAGAATACCCTCTATTTAAGAAACTCTCGTTATAAGAGAAACCCTCTATCTAACAGACGCCTCATTATAAGGTAAGAATGTTTCATCCCCGGAATTAGAATGCTTTGTATAATACCCTCTATTTAACATACGCCTCATTATAAGAGAAACCCTCTATTTAACATACAGCTCGTTATAAGAGATACCCTCTATCTAAGATACAGCTCGTTATAAGAGAAACCCCCTCTATCTAACATACGCCTCATTATAAGGTAGGAGTGTTTCATCCCCAGAAGTACCTTATAATGATGTTTGACTGTAAAAAGAAAAATCGAGAGAAAAAATATTTTTTGAAAATAATTAACAGGTTTAATTCGCACGGTACACGTTGTGCAGGTGAAATTTCTGCAGCTAGAGATAATGGAGTTTGCGGGGTAATTTTTTTATAAAAATTATGCAAAATTTTATGAGAAAAGGACAAAATTAGAGGAAAATATTTGGAAAATATTAATTTAAAATTAAAAAGGTCGGTGTTGCTTATGACAGTAAAGTTGCCGGTATACGAATGCTTGACCAGCCATACATGACTGATTTAATAGAGGCTAACTCTATGGGACACGAACCAAACAAAATACACATTTACTCGGCAAGTTGGGGACCGACAGATGATGGAAAGACTGTTGATGGACCGAGAAATGCTACAATGCGGTGATTACATTTTTATAAATTAAAAATGAAAATTAAAAAAATCTTGGATAATAAAAATTTTTGTTTCAATCCTGGACTTTTAAAGGGGCCTTCATTTCTTTCTTTTAATACCTCTCTTCTATATAATAAATAAAAAAAGCATCTCCTCTGCTTACGACCATATCGCGTTGAAAGCACGCCATCCCGTCCGATCTGGCAAGTTAAGCAACGCTGGGCCTCCTTAGTACTTGGAACGGAGACGTCCTGGGAATCGGGGGTGTCGTAAGCTTTTTTGAAAATTTTTTTGTTAAAAAATATTTTTTATCTTTCAAAAGTTAATTTTTTAGTGCAATAGTAAAAGGAGTAAATGAAGGAAGAAACGGATTAGGCTCTATTTTTGTTTGGGCAAGTGGAGATGGAGGAGAGGATGATGATTGTAATTGTGATGGTTATGCAGCCAGTATGTGGACAATTTCGATTAATTCTGCTATAAATAATGGAGAGAATGCACATTATGATGAGTGGGTTTTTTGGAAAATTTCTGAAAATTTTTAAAAATTCTTTTAGAAGCTGTTCCTCAACCTTAGCTTCAACCTTCTCCAATGGAGGTAGAAATCCGGAAAGTGGGGTTGCCACAACAGATTTATACGGTCGCTGTACTCGTTCACATTCTGGCACTTCTGCAGCTGCTCCAGAAGCTGCTGGCGTTTTTGCTTTGGCCTTGGAGGCAAATCCGAATTTGAGTTGGAGGGACTTGCAACACTTGACTGTTTTGACTGTAATTAAAATTTATTTTACAATGAAGCATTGTTTAGGATATCCCCAAAAATAGATACACCTCTATTTAGGATACTCTTTTTTAAATTTTAATTGGTTGTCTGGTGGAGGGAGCTGTTAAGCGATACCCTCTATTTAATGTACATCTCATTATAAGGTGTGATCTTTCCAGCCCCCAAAATTCATCTTATTTATAATGAGCTTCGTCTCCATTTTAAAATTCTTATTTCTTTAAAGTCTTCACGTAATTCATTGTTTGATGGACGTTGCCGTGAATTACCACCTCTAAACCTCAAAGGAGTTACTCGCCAATTATACAAAGGCTTACCAAACTGCTCACATTTTGAATGGCAAATGAATGGTGTTGGGTTGGAATATAACCATTTATTTGGGTTATTTTTTAAATTTATTTTAATGAAAAAAATAATTATCTGAAGCCAGTTTGTGTTTGAAGTAGCGCTCAGTTTTTTGCCTATAAAATAGACAAAAGTTAACTTTGAGCTTTCAAATTTTGCACAGATATCAAAAAAATCTTGCCTAACATTACAAAAAATTTCAGAATTTTTTAAAGTTTATTTCAGAAATTCTGGTCAAAAATATCAGAATTTCACTGTTAAAATCTCTCTTTTTCTTTGATTTTTTCGATAACTTCTGAAATGTTTAACTAAGAATTCTGAAATTTTCAGATGTGTTAAATAACACTTTTATATATATCTATACAAAATTTCAAGATTTTAGGTTCACTTTATAGAAGGTATAGTTGCGCGAAGCAAGCTATGTTCACTCAAACATGCCTAAATTTAATATTTTTTGTTTTTAGAAAATTTCAAAAAAAAAATTCAAAAATTTTCTAAAATAATAAAAGTAAATTTTCTAAAATTAGTTATGGAGTCCTCGATGCAGCAGAAATTGTTTTAATGGCAAAGGTATGGAAAACAATGCCCCCACGTTTCCACTGTGAAGCTGGAACAATTGAACACCCTACCAGAATTCCACCAACTGGAGATTTAGTTTTGGAATTAAATACTGATGCTTGTGTTGGGACTTCTACTGAAGTTAACTTCTTAGAACATGTCCAGGTGGATTTTTTTGGAAAATTGAAAAAAAATATATTTTAATTCTTTTTGAACAAATATTTAATAAAAGAAATAAGTAATGTAAGAATAACGGTTGGTCACTTGTAGTCGCACTCTTGTAAAATAGCCATAGGTGGTCCTAAATTCCTGAAATTTTGCAGAGCTATACCCAACATATTTAGCTAACAACTCCCTAAATTTCAGACTTTTTGGTTTATTATTTCAGAGATTATGAGAGAAACAAGTGAACAGATACGGTATTTTCTGTTATCTCCTATTCAATATCTTTGGCCAGAATTTCTGATTTACTCAGCCAAAAATTCTGAAATTTTCAGAATTGTTAGTAGACAGTATTAACTATATCTCTGCAAAATTTCAGGAATTTAGGTCCTTTTTGGCTAACTTATAAAATTTAAAAGGACGTCAGTTCCCATAAATATGCTTTTTCCTTAAGAATTTTTTTTTAATTTAATTTTATTTTTTAATTAATAAACTAATTTTCAAAATCTATTTATTAAGGCAATCGTCTCATTAAACACTTCCCGACGTGGAGACACTACTTTATATTTAATTAGTCCAATGGGAACACCTTCAATGTTGTTATCCCGACGCCCAAAAGACGACGATTCTAAAGATGGATTTACGTAAATTTTTTTCTAAATTTTCCAAAATAAATTCATTTTTCAACAGAAATTGGCCTTTTATGACAACACATACTTGGGGGGAAAATCCTCGAGGAAAATGGCGTTTAGTTGTTCGTTTCCAAAGCGGAAAATCAACACCTATTGAACAACAAAAACATCATACTGGATGGCTGAAAAAATTCTCCTTAATGTTACACGGAACTAAAGAAGCCCCTTATGTTGGAATTGAAGTGAATTTTATTTAATTTTTGAAATTTAATTAATTGAAGGGGACGTTTCGGCGCGAAAGTGTCATTCACTTCTGACCTCATAAAATAGTCTAAAGACATCCTTTTGCCTTTAAATTTTGCTCAGATATCATTGATTATGTTATCTAGCTAGTCTGAAAATTTCAGAATTTTTGGTTATGTATTTCAGAAATTCTGGTCAAAAATATCAGAATTTTGCTTGGAAATGCCTAGTTTCTTTTAGTTTTTTGACCATAACTTTTTTCCTATTTTACAAAAAATTCTGAAATTTATAGTGAATATAGCTAACACTTTCAAGAATATTAGTGCAAAATTTCGTGGTCATAAGTTCATTACTTTAGTGTATTCTTTAATTCGCGCCGTAACAATGTCGCGCCGAAACGTACCAAAATACTTCAATTTTTAACTAAAAATAAAATTTATTTTTAGCCTTTACAAGGCCATGCAAATTCAAAATTGAGTGTTGTGCAAGGCGCGCATAAACGAATGGCTTAAATTTAAATTTTAAAAATTGAGAAGATCTACCGGTGATAGAAAGAAAATTTTTAAATTAATTGAGGACATATTTAAACAAAAAGTTTTTAAAAGAATTCCCCCTATACCACAAATTACCCTGAAAAATTAAAATTGTGTTAATGTAAAAATAAATATATAATTTTATTTTTGAAATTTAAAATATATTAAAATTAATTAATTTTTAGAGATCTTATTTTTGGAAAAAAATTTTGATAATTAAAAATTTTTTTGAAATTTTCGAAAAATTTTTTGAGGTTAAAAAATTTCAAAAAAATTTTTTAGAAATTTTTAAAAATATTTTTAATTTCAAAAAATTACTTTTAATTTGAAAATCAGAATATATATTTTAAATTTCCTGTAAATATTTTTTTAAATAATTTTTTTCGTTTATATTAAATTCTGATTTTCTGGTCAGTGATCTCTCCTCTCTCTCTCCTCCCTCCATTTCTTCCTTACCACGCTTAACCCTACAAGATTAGTAACGGGACTAATTAAAAAACATATTATAATTGTATTTTAAAATTAAAATAAAATTCTTTTGACTGTTTTTATATTTTTGATATTTTATTTAGAAAACGAGTAGTAATCAAAAATTAAAATTAGCAACTGGATTAATTAACATTTGGTTTGTGTGGAAACACTCTATTTTAGATTTTCTCTTCTATATAAATAATAAAAGAAGAGTTTCTCTCGCTTACGACCATACCGCGTTGAAAGCACGCCATCCCGTCCGATCTGGCAAGTTAAGCAACGCTGGGCTTCCTTAGTACTTGGAACGGAGACGTCCTGGGAATCGGGGGTGTCGTAAGCTTTTTTAGAAAATTTTTCGTTAGAAAATTTTTTTTAAGTCAAATGTTCAGTTTAATATTTTTTAATTAAATTTTACTTATTCAAAAAGGCCTCCTTAGTACTTTTAAGCTAGAGTTTTTATTAGGTTAATATCTAATTAAAAATTTGAAAAATAATAAATTGAAACTTTCTAAAACTCAACAGATTATTCGTGTTTATTCTGAAGCATCTTTCATAGATTAAATTTGAAATCTTTTACTCTTAAATTGCCATTCTCTATCGAAACAAATTTTTTATAATTCCTCCCTTTCTTTCCATTTAAATTAATGCCCCTTTCATTTTCGGTCATTTTCGCATCTTTTATTCATCCAGAAAAGGGGAGAATTCAAAAAATATTAATCTGACAGTTATTTGCCTAGAGAAGTGAAAAAAGGGGCGTGGAGACATAAATGGCATTTATTTACCCATATGTTTTGCAATATATAAATTAATTTTTTTAAATATTATGTGCTCATTTTTCCTTAATAATTACTAAATCACGAGTGGGAAAAAGTCGGGTTTTTTTTAGTTCTTTGGCTTTTTATCCCTCTTTTCAGGTAAACGACCGGTTATTAACCAACATCCTCAATTATGACCGCTTTTTGACTCCAAGTTTTCGATTCGGTTAAATGGGCGCCAACCGTGTCGGGCTAGAACGGATACGGAGCGACAAAACGAGGTCGTACCAAAACGCGGAACGACCAAAATGCCAAAACGAGGACTGTGTTTTGGTCGTTCCGCCTTATGCCGTTCCGTGTTTTTGTAGGTACGTATTTTGTCGTTCCGTGTTTTGGAAAGACCTCATTTTGCCCCTCACCCGCTCCAACAACCCTACTTGATACTTGCCTTCGCTGCTTTAGAATATTTTTTGTTCGAATTAATTTTTATATACTAGCTTATTAATTAAAAAAATTTTTTACAGTAAATTTAGTTATTACTTTTCTTGACAACAAAAAATATTTACAAAAAAATCAAAACTTTGTTTCATCATTTTCTACTTTAAAAAATGAAAGTAACAAACAATTCCCCCAATTATTTATTGCCCAACAACCAACTCATTTCAACAAATTCCTCAAAATTTGTTTTAAGTAAAGATCAGTTGGATCAATTAACTAACCAATTGAAATTGCTTAGTGTGGATGATGTGGATGTTAAAAAAGTTTTGAAAAAATTAAAAAACCTTAAAAATAAGGTGAAAATGTTAAAAATTAATTAGCTTATAAATCCAGAAATCAGAGGGTCTGACCAAGAAGGTCACCTCACAGAGGGCTGCTCTCTTTTGAATCTGATAGTTGTTAGTGATCAACCTTCTGGGAATTATAACCTTGTTTTTTGGCTCGTTTCTTCTATTTTTTTATTTTATCCTGCTCCCACCTCCTTTATTAATTCCATATAGTATACCGGTGGAAAAGTTTCGATATAAGACCCATACCATTCGATTCATCTCGCCAAGCTGAGCCGAACGGTACCAATCTTTTTTCCGGAGATGCCTGTGGACCGAGATATAGATCCTTTAGGCTGAGTCGAATGACACCAAAATCAGCTCGAGATCTTGCTTCTAAGCAGTTCAAAATGGTCAAGTAAACGCGTAGGCGAGGCGCTTGTGCAAAACCCTGGTTTTTCGATTTTAAAGGACCTATAACTCGGTCCACCGGCATCTCCGGAAAAAAGTGGTACCGTTCAACTCTGCTCGTCAAGACAAATCGAAAGGTATGGGTCTTATATTGAAACCTTTCTACCGGTATACTATAACAGCCTTAAATTCTTTTTGCAACATCACCGTTATACTTATCTAATACTTAAACTCGAGAAAATTCCAAAAGCAATATTTATTTTTAGCAACTTTCATTGACTAATCAAGCTTTTATGGAAAATAATGGCTTGCTTGGATTTGTTCTTTCACAAATTGTAAATTGTAACTATGACAATGTTTTATCAATTGACTCTAAAAATTTTGGGTTAGTCAAAAGTTTAAAATTTTTAAAAACGCTAAAAATATTTTTTGGCAATATGTCTTTTAAGCATTTTTAAATTATAGCTCAGTTCGGGAATATTAAATTAGGTCCAGTTTAGGTCAGTAAAAACGATATCGCCAATCCAAGAATGACCGATTCAAACAGCTCGTTGATCTAGCTATATTAGGGCTTCCGGAATTCGAAAAGTTTAAACAGAACCTGCGATGTAGTCTTCTACTAGGGATGGGAATACTGAATCGTCCCCCTTGTCTCCACCATATAATACCAATACCAGATAATGCCAACCCCTTATAATGTTGGCATTAGTTGAAGTTGGAATTATCAGTGGGAACGTCCCCCTTTGGCCGTGTACTGAATAGGCTGATACTGAATCGGCCGATCTGAATCGTCCTTTTCCCTCGTGCTGTTCTCAGACAATTTATCCCATTAACAAAAATTTAAATAAAAATATGATTTTTTTTTCATTGCAAAAATATTTTAACCTTGTTTCTTCTTAACTTTTTTTTTATTTTTTTTCTAATTTTTAAAATTATTTTCAGTTGGAACATCCTCCATCCAACAAGCCAATTTCCATTAAGATTTAAAAAAAATAAGGTAGAGTTGTTTTCAAATTTTTACCTCTCTTTTTTATTTTTTAGAATATGGGCCGAAAGGAAATTTCAAAATTGTTGGACACCAACAAAATAATTGCAAACAATCTTAAAAAAATTGTAAATAATGGGAATTTAAATAGACAACAACTTGATGGAGTTCTCCGTATTTCAAACCGAATTACTTGTACAAATCAAAAACTTTTAAGTATGTAATTTTTACGTTAATCGTTACTGTTTTGTGCGAAAAAGTTGGGTAACTATTAATTTGCGGATCAGCTCCTTTAGACGGAAATGCTTTAGAAATTGATGTCAGTCCGTGTTTTGTCTGTCCTAGTCCATCCGTCTCCATTTTTCCTTTCCTTGCAGGTAAAAAAAATTCCGCCCTTCCTCTTTTGAACAATTTCTAGTATTTTATTTGAATACCTTAAAGAGAATAAAATCATTTTTAGATTCGCAAGATGGTCGTGGACGTGGAACATTAATTTATGGAGGAATGGATTAATTTGTGGAAGAATTGTTTTTAATTCTCAACTAACTAAAAATATTTTTTTAATTTTTAAAATTTGCTTTATTTTTTTAATTGAATAAATGAATTAACTAAAATTTTCTTTTTAATTATTTTTATTTGATATTTACTTCAAATATTTTTTTACAAAATTTTTCATAATTTTCCTTCACATTTTTTATACTTTTGGGGATTTTCATTCACACCAAAAAAACCTTGGCTTCAACTTTCTCCAATGGAGGTAGAAAATGATAATTAAACATTATCTTTCACTTGAGCATTTAAATATGTAATATTGGTCTGTGAGGGAGAATACTGTACTTGCCATTTTCTCTTCTATATAGTTAATAAAAGAGAGGTTACTCTTGCTTACGACCATACCACGTTGAAAGCACGCCATCCCGTCCGATCTGGCAAGTTAAGCAACGCTGGGCTTCCTTAGTACTTGGAACGGAGACGTCCTGGGAATCGGGGGTGTCGTAAGCTTTTTTTGAAAAATTTTTTACAAACGAGCTTTTTTTTATTGGAAAATAAATATTTTTAATTTGATTGTAAAACAAGTTAAATTTAAAACTTGGATTGTAAAATAAATTAATTTATTAAATATTCATTTAAATAATTTAATCGTCAGGATATTCACTTATATTTTTAACTAAACACAACCCATATCCATATGAACATCCAAAATATCCACATTTTGTGCATAGACTTCCTTTTTGGTAAATTGATTCTCCAGGAATATTCCCTCTGCAAATTTTTATTTAATTTAAATTTTTAAACTTTTGTTTAGAAATTATTCGATTTTAGAAATCTGAGGCGGATCAAAGGGTATTTTAAAAAAATTTTATTGGATGTCCACGTTTCTCAATAGTCAAAGACGAGTTAATATATTAGTTCTAATTAGGGTAGCATAGCGTCCCCCAGAAACTCCAACACGAACCCCGAAAGCTCTACACCGGCAAACCCCGATCCCCGACGTTCCTGCCCCTGAAGGCTCGGCGTGCTACTCTAGTTTTAATAAAAAAGGAGATATTTTATAGAAGGGGAGGGCTCAGCTCCAAATTTTTTAGTCGTTGATTTCGTCCTTTTTTCTATTGGACCAAACTCATTTTTGATTTCTATTCCTCTCGTTTAACTAAAAAAAGTTTAAAAAATCCCAACTTTGGACTGTATTTACAAACAAAATAATTATATATTGGACAATCAATGTAGGCACAACCAATTTTAAAACTTTCTGCCCATATCATTTGTGTACACGAACCACTTCGAGAATGTTCAGAATCGTAAATTAACTCTTCAGATACTCCATATTTACAAGTATCAGCCCAAGCAATACATGCTTTTAGCAGCACATTGGCTAAAAAATTTGTTAATATTAAGCCGGGCCCGAAAGCTGCAGGTATCTCTAGAACAGGAATAATTTGGAAACTGAGACCTAGATATCAGAAATTGGGAATGAAAAGTATTTTGAAACTAGGAAGTGTGTGATGCTAAAAAGAAATAGCATTTGTTTTTCTTTCGTTCTCTCCCCATATTTTGACCCCATCCAATTATTCTCTCCCCTCTTTTAATGTAAACCCCATTTCTATCCCATAGGTTGTTGTTGTTCGTTCATTCGTATTTTATGTTCTTATTTTGTTTTGAAAAGAAAAGTAAAAAAGGATTTTTTTATTTTGTATTTGTGTCTAAATTGATTGAGAAAAAGAAGAGAGTTTATTTAATTTTATTTACTACTTGGCGCTCCTGAGGCAGAGGTTGTTCTTTGTGGGAAAAAGAAATTAATTTATTTACGAATTGACTTTTTATTATTGATCTTCGTTGGCCACCGGTGGACCAGGAATTTAATTTTTTTGCAACAACAACAACAAATATTTTTTTTTGAAAAGTTATTCCCCGGTGGAATAGTTTTCGTATTGACAACTTTTTTGAGATTTTTTCAAAAAAAATCTTATTCAGTTTTCCCTCGGTGGGTGGATTGAATTTTCTTCACTTCAAATTCTAGCCTCGGTGGATAGGATTTGAAATTTCTTCAACGTTCAAAAAAAAATGGAACCATCACAACAAAATCAATATTTCTTCCAGCCTTACCCAGTCTACCCTCCAATGAATATGCCAATAAATAATTCGCAGCCTTATGGCTTCCCAATCTTCTTTGGTCATCAAAATAATGGTTTTTATCACCAAATGCAATACCCCTATCCTTTCATACCAACAATGCAACCATTCGAACAAAATCCTAATCTTGTCTCCGAAAATGCGTCACTGGCAAACATGGAAAATCTTCTGTTAGACACAATTCCAGATTTGGATGGAACTGAAGGATCTTTTGAAATTAAGAAATTTTTCAAGAAATTCAAAGTTTCTACAGAGGATTGGCCAGACAAGAAAAGAATTAAGGCTCTCAAATCGAAATTGAGCAGCAGACAAGCCATGCTTTGAAAAAGGCTATTACTAACGAACCCTTAACTTATTCTTCAATCAGTCAAAGTATTCTTTCTCAGCTTTTACCAAATGAGTTCAAAAACAGTCCGCAGAAAAACCATCAACATAAGGGGATTACAAACGAAGGGCAAAATTTAAAAGAGATTACCAAGGAAAAGAAAAATTTTGGGGAAAACCAAAGTTCTCTTGAAGGTACTTTGCGAACCAATTCCCCACAGCAAAAGAAAAATTTGAAAGAGCATGAGAAAAGTTACAAACAGCAAAACATTCCCACTCCATCATTCAAAAATAAGGTCAACATTAAATTTGAAAAAGAAGAATTTTCACAAGAAATTTTGGAATTTTTCGAAAAGCCAATCGACGAAGATTCGGCCAAAAACGAAAGCAAATTGGAAAATTTAAAAGAAAAATTTTTAGAAAATTTTGAACCAACTGTTGAAAATGAGTTAATGGTGGAAAAAGATTTGGATATGGGTTTAGTGGAAGATTTTGGAAAAGAACAATTTTGTGAATTGGATGTGGAACTTAACTGCTCCTTAGATGGAAAACAAGATTTGGTTGTAGGGTTTTTTTCCTAATATTTAAAGAAATCCTAGTTCTAAGTTCAATTAATTCAAAATCCAATAAAGTTTATTTCGCAAGAGAAAAAATACAATTAATTTAAAAGCAGAAGAATATATTTTATAATTATTTTATTGAAGAGTGATTAAAGGGAAGTTAAAACAATATATTTATAGCCAGTGTTTTTGGAGGAAAATGGATTTCAAAATATATGTGTGTGAAATTTTAGTAGTGATTAATATATTTCATAATTTTAATGTTATTTTAAATAATTAGTTGACATTAATTCGCAGGATGCGACAGTCCCGCTGCGAAAATTGGATGAATGGGTTGGACATTGAATAGGGGGAGAAGATTATTAGGCAAATAGACAATGGGGACCATGGTGTTAGTAACAATAGTGTTTTGTGGTGGAGCTTGGGGTTGCGGAACTGAAAATTGATTTTGATTATTTTGGATTGGCCAGTTGGGGTTTACGTTGTTATAATTGGTTATAATATGGGGCTTTCGCCCAACAACAGGGGGGACCGTAAATTTTAATGAGTTTAATGGGGGAATGTGTGAAATGTTTCTTTTCATAAATTTCTTATTCTTATTCCTTCGCAATTTGGCCAATTGATTTTTTGAAATGGTTGATGCTGGGAGACGTTCAACAAAGCCAGAAGGGAGCACACGTACACGGCTGATTGGAAATTTGATGGGAGAGCTGGGTGGAGGCGGTGGGGGATCCAAAATCATTTTCAGTTCCGGAGACGCAAGCGATTGTGGTGGTTGAATTGGCAGTGGGATTTCATCCACAGGCATGTTGGTTGGTGGGGGTGTTGGTGATGGAGGAAGGATTGGTGGATGGGCGGTTGGTTTAGCGGTAATTGATATTTCTGAAAATTTAGAAGAAATTTCAGCGGTGGGGGCCGCCTGAAGTGAGGATTCGGTAGTTGCCACCAAATTAGTATTTATAGACATTGGTTCGGGAGAAGAATTAGATGAATTATTATTAATAGTAAAGTTTAAATATTTTCGTAATTTATAAATTTCGTTTTGGGGAATAGGGGTTCGAATATTTTTCGTTTTCATCTAAATTTATTTTATATTATTGAGAGGTAGGAGGGCGGGGAGGTTGATCAATTTGAGGGGATTGGGGCCGAGAAAAATATTTATAAAGTAAGGTAGCTAATTTTAAAATAAGAAGTATAAATAAGGAAACAAAACAGCCTAAAAGGGAGAATATGGCTGCCGATGATTCTGGGTGTTCTTGAATAAATGAGGAGAGGGATTCCATACCGAAGTAGAGGGCCGAGCTAGCCAGAATTGGTAGCGAAAGTTTTGCGGTTGGTTTTCCAACCGTTTTGAAGACTTTACTTATTGTGTATTTTCCTTTTCTTTTTGGAAATGGGAGGGCAGGGGGTGGTAAAAATAAAATAAGGAAAAATATTATACAAATTGAAGACAATTCAAATTGTTTTATTAAAGTTTTAACCGGCCTAGTATTTGTTGTATGAGGGGAAAGGCTTTTGGATTTTTTGTTGGTTTGCCTATGGTTTTGTTTATGGACGAATTTTAAATGTTTGTACACATAATTTATTGTTAAGCCTATTAATACAAGAAGGATTAGGAAAGATGAGTAATAAGCCCAATTTGGGCCTTCAGGTTTAGTTGGTTGGAAATAAGCGGAAAAATCCAAAGAAAAAATATTAATAGAAATTATGTTTCCCATAATTAATTGAAGAAATTTATTATTTAAAAAATGATAATTAAATTGAAAGGTTGAGAGATTTTATATGCTTTAACTTGAATCTCTCCTCCCATTTTTAACATAAATAAAAATTAATGATTTAAAAAAATTTTTAATAAAAAATTCCTGGGAAAGTGTTAGAAATTGTTTGTATTTATGTTTATTGGGAAAGTGTCGTTGTAATTTCTTTATTTTCTTTTGTGGGATTAGCTGTGAGATTTATTTTATTATTAATTTCATCAGTTGTTTCTAAAGGACAAAGATGACTAATGGAACGATTTGTTCTTCGGCCGGATGAGAATCGAATGGTTGCAATATCGGGAATGTTATCTTTATTACACTGTATTTTCTCAATTATTGCCGTTCTCCAAACGGAGACGGGGGAATTTTCAACAACGATCACTAGTTCCCCTGGGATGGGGCTCCGGTTTGAATTATTTGTCAACTTTTTATACCTTTCCCGGAGTGATAATATATATTCTTGGGCCCATTGTTTCCAAAATTTTTGGCTTGTTTTTGTTAAAGTTTTCCATAATTTTTGAAGGGAAATTGTGTTACTGTTTATTTCGAGAGGGTGGGGTTGTGGGCATAAATTGGAGATTGGGGAAATATTTTTGTTTAGGGGACGTATAAAATCAATTGGACGTAATGGCCGTATTTCATTTGGGTCGGTTGAATCGAAGGTTATTGGCCGGTGGTTTATAATATTTTCAATTTCTCCTATTATTGTTAGCGCTTCTTCAAAAGTAAAAATTTTTGGAATAATTCCGGTTGATAGGGTGCGGCGGAGGTGAAATTTTATTAGACCCACAAATCTTTCATAGTGACCTCCTCTCCAAGCCGCATATGGTACTCGGAGGTTCCAAGTTGGTGGGTAAGTTTTTAGGGAATTTTTAAACGAGACAAATGTTGGAGCGCTATCTGAATAAATGACTGTGGGAGGGCTAAATTTGGCAGAAAATCTACGATAAGCCAGTAAAAATTGTTGGGTGGATTGATTTGGGACTAAGTCTAAGCATATTCCACGGGTTGTTAGACAAACCCACAAAAGAATGTAAAATTTTTGATTATTTATATCAGCATATTTTAAACGTAGTGGTCCGCAATAATCTAACCCTATGGCGGAAAATGGACGGGATGGTGTCACTCTGTCTTCTGGGAGTTGTGGAAAAGGTGGTCGGTTAAATGGCACAGAATTAAATCTGCGGCAGGGTAGACAACTTAAATATAGAGTGTGTTGTACGACCCGTCTGCCACGTGGTATCCAAAATTCTCTTCTAATCATTGAGAGTACTGAAAGAGGGCTTGCATGATGATTTAAAATATGGATTTCATAAATTAGCAATTTTGTAAGGTGGGAGTTGGCTGGAAGGAATAATGGCAATATTGTATTTTGTGGGAGATTACTATTTCCTAACCTGCCATTTGCTCTAATTAAATTATTTTCATCGTTAAATAAGCCTAATGAATTTTCTTCCTGTTCGGTTGGAGGGTAATAATCTTGTTCTTGTTTAATGATTATTTTCAAAGCCGAGCGTAGTTCTCGGATGGATATGTTTAAATTCTTAATCCTTGGGTATTTTTTCAAAAATGGGGAAATTGAAGGGTGTCCATTATAAGCAATAAATCTCAAAACATACGCAGTAACACGAAGGAGTTTTGGCAAACGAGAAAATTTATTTATTTCCATTAGGGGTGTCAGTTTTGTTTGTGTAGTGTGGAATGTCATTATCGGTTGTGTTTCTTTCGTTTCTAGTACTGGGTTGTAGTCATTCGATGAGAATGTTGGAATTTCGGCATTTTCTTTTGGCCAGGAACTTGTTGCACACGACAACCAACTTGGTCCATGTAGCCATAAATCATTTTTAAACAATTCACTTGGTTTTGTGATTCCGCGTGTGCCCAAGTCTGAGGGGTTTTGACTTCCTGGTATGTGGCAGACTTTTAAATTGGGTGTGGTTCTTATCGGTTTAATTCTATTGTAAATAAATATGTCTTTAATTGGCAATCGGGAATTTAGCCAACCAATAACTACGGATGAATCTACCCAAAGGGTCAGGTTCTCATCCACATTTGAAGGAGGGAGTTGTGATTTTACATAAATAAGGGCTCTTAACCCAATTAGAGCTGCAACCAATTCCATTTTTGGTATAGTGAATTTTTGACCTTTCTTTGTAACGGGTTTAAGCTTTGTTTTACTAAATAAAAGAGTTGAATGGATTGATTGGGGAAGGTGGATACGTAAATAAATAGCGGCGCACATGGCCTGTGAAGAAGCGTCACTAAAACAATGTAATTCGATCTGTTTTATATTTATGGGGTCGGGACATATACATCTTTTAATTGAAAAATTTAAGTCTTTCCACTCGGAAAATAATTGCCTCCATTCATTTACTTTTTCTTCGGGCACGGGATCGGTCCACTTCAGATTATTTAGCCATAAAGATTGAAAAAACAATTTTAAAGGGAGTAAAATGGGTGATAAAAACCCACATGGATCATAAGCTGATGCAACAAATGAAAGAATGTCGCATTTCTTTGGGTTGGAGATTTCAGGTGGGTTTGGTAAGTTAAGTCTAAATTTATCTTCGATTGGGCAATATTTAATACCAAGAAATTTAATTTTTGAGCTGGGGAGTTTGTCCTCTTCTGGGACGTCTTGTATAATTTCAGGGCAATTACTTACAAATTCTCTGAGTTTCATATTTGCCGTTGCAAAAAGCTTTGTTGCCTCAAGACATTTTAATTTTCCTTCTGTTATAAAGGAGGCTGTAAGAAGTATATTGTCTACATAAATATTTTCTTCCAATTCTTGTGATAGAGAGGATTTGTTTTTTAAAAGGTGGTAGCGAATTGTTGCTGCAAGGAGAAATGGTGAACAGATTAGTCCAAATGGTACTCGGGCAAATCGATAAATTTGGATATTAGCCGAGGAGAGAGGAAGTGAAATGTCTTGTAACCACAAAAAGCGTGTTACGTCACGATCAGAAGGATTTATACTAATTTGAAGGAAGGCCTTTTGAATATCGGCCGTGATTACGTATTTAGGGAGGCGGAATTTAAATAAAAGACCGACAAGGTCATTCAGAAGGTTAGTTCCAGAGAATAAGCATTCGTTAAGTGACAGGTTCTTTCCTAATTTTGCTGAACCGTCGTAAACTATTCGAACCGTTTTCTTGTCCTGACGTATTACTGGGTGGTGGGGAAGGTAATGAAGTGGTACACAATTTTGATTTGGGTTTTGAACCTTTTCTATTATTCCCAATTGGAGCTGTTCTGTGAGTATTTCTTGGTATTTGGAAATAAGCGTTTTATCATTTTTCAAGGAATTTAATACAGAACGCAAGCGTCCGTAACATAGAGGAAAATTCGTTGGTATTGGCAAATGGGCTGGATCGGTTTTAAACGGGAACTTTATTTCATAACGCCCGTCAACAAATTTGATGTCTTTAACGAATTGGGTTGATACCTTGTCTTCAGAGTTTTCCCCGGGATCCTCTTTTATACCGACTCCTTCTAGGGAAAGAAATTGTTGTATTTGATCATCGATTTGGGAGCAAAAATTAGTATTGTGGATTAGACTATTACTAGGTGAGTACGGTTTACCGGCCACAATAGGGCCAAGAAGAGTGCTAACTAAAGTATATCCCGATGGAAGCTTTTTTATTGGGGTGGGTTCAAGATCATAATAGTAATCACTTCCTAATAATATTACTGGGTATATTATTTCGGCGGGAGGCAAAAATTCGGAAGTGCTATTTATTATCTCAAAAAATGGGGGAATATATTTTGTGGGTTGTGTTAAATGATTAATTGTACAAGCATTAATGTAAATGGATCGGCCGTCTATAAGTTTTAAGCCAAATTCAGTAGAGAAGGTGGTGGTCGTTTGACATGAGGGATTGCTGAATACTCCTAAATTAACTGTAGTGGGTTTCATATTTAGTCCTAATGAAATTGCTTCGGACTTTTGTATGTAGGAGTGGGTACTAGCATCATCTAACATTAAAAAGCCTGTACTACGTTTCGACGGGTAAGTCGGATTGAAGAACTCTACTCTAATACATTTAAGCAGTATCGGTGGGCTTGAATTTGGTTTTCGAGGGTAAACATACCGTGATGAAGTATTTATTTGGGCGGGGCCAATAGTTTTTGTTTCTGGGTTTGGCGATGGCTGTTGTTCATTTTTATATTTTGAATGATTCTGACTTGCGGGAAATTCATTAAAATTTTGTGAAGATGTGCTAGCAAATAGTGATGGTATTTGTGAAGGTTGGGGTTGTGAATAATTGGTTTGATAAGGAAATTGTAAATTAGTACGATTTGAATTATTGGTATTGTACCGTGAATTGTTAAAAGCGTTTGTGTTATTTTGGGGTGAATTAAATAGAGCTCTGCAAATAGCTCTTGGGTGATTGTTTTGACAAAAGGTACATTTAATAGGACGGGGACAGTTCATTGATTGGTGGTTATTTTTAAAACATTTAAAACACAGTCCCTTTTCTCGCAAACGGGATGTACGTGTTTGTAGGTTTGGATATTGTGTACATGCGTTTGAAAGGTGGGAGAATTGGTTACAAAATACGCATGGAAATCTTGATCTGGACGTTGGCAAATTATTACGAGTAGTAAAAAATGTTAAAGAGGAGTTAGGTGTGTGAGGCGGAGAACTTTCATTAGTCCAATTATTTCGTGGGGATCTGGGTGAAAAACGTGTTGCTTCTGGTATATTCAATTCTTTCTTTTGATCCTTTAATGATTTTATGCCTTCTTTGCGCTTCAATATTTGTTTTAGTGTTGTCCTAAGTTGATCAGTCTGCCATTCATCTCCATATTCATCCTTAGCCTTAAAAATTTCTTCCAAAATAAGGGGAGGGAGTTTTGATTCTAACTCCATTTGCACGGAAAGGGTATTTATGTCAAATTCTTGTTCAAGCATTTGTAAATATAATAGTTCTAATTGGTCTACGAAAGCTCGTAGTTCCATACAAAGGGTTTCGGGGCCATTATTTGAATGAACTATGGGCAATTTACGTATTGAATGCAGAAGGGTTCTGTTAATTTCATTGGCATTTCCATAATTTTCCCGTAAAAGTCGAATTGCCTCGTGATAAGAAGCATCAGTTAATGGAAGGGATTTTATTAATAAAAGTGCCGGTCCATCCAGACATTCCTTGAGGTAATTAAATTTAACAGCGTCTGAAAGATTTGGAATATCATGGACCCCAGCGCGAAATGAGTTCCAAAAGGAGGTGAATTCGATACATTTCCCACTAAATTTGGGAAGTGATAGTTTGGGTAGATGAAATAAAGTATCAGTGGATTTGGAAGGGTCGGGAAGGTTTTCAGATAAAGTTGCCTTTTCTGTGCGTAGTTTGTTAATATATTTCTTTAAATTACGGATTGTAGTTGGGTAGGGCACATCTTGTACAAATTCATCATATATGGGATTATCTGCTATTCGTTCGGCTCCCGTCATTGACGTTCTGACACCCATCCAAAGATCATTTTGGCGATTGATATCGTTGTAAATTTCTGTTGCATTTTGTGATTCAGTATCTAATGAATTAATTAGGGTGCGAATTTGGGTATGATATTGAGAAATGCTTCCAGTTTGGACAGGGAGGGCAAATGATTTTTGATTATTTAGGATATCATCGGCTTCTTCAGCCAACAACCGAATTTGGTTACGAAAAGGGGCTGACATTTTCTCGGTTTTTCTTTAACCCGGCTGAGCTGTTGGGTTTTTTTCCTAATATTTAAAGAAATCCTAGTTCTAAGTTCAATTAATTCAAAATCCAATAAAGTTTATTTCGCAAGAGAAAAAATACAATTAATTTAAAAGCAGAAGAATATATTTTATAATTATTTTATTGAAGAGTGATTAAAGGGAAGTTAAAACAATATATTTATAGCCAGTGTTTTTGGAGGAAAATGGATTTCAAAATATATGTGTGTGAAATTTTAGTAGTGATTAATATATTTCATAATTTTAATGTTATTTTAAATAATTAGTTGACATTAATTCGCAGGATGCGACATGGTATCTGTTGAATTTCCTATTCCAACAGAAATCCATGTTTTTCAAGAAATTGCTTCAGAAGAGGATATTCATGTTTCACATGAAGAAGTTAAGGAAGAAATTGTATGTTCTAAAAGAGAAGAATGTTTTGTTTTGGAAAAAGTGAGTGAAGATTGTGTTGATTTGAAAGAATTAGAAGAAGATTTTGATCTGAAAAAGATTTTGGAAGAAAAAGTTGATGAAAAAGAATGTTTGGAATTTAAATTGGAAGTGTTTGAGAAGGATCCTGAAAAGGAAATCCTCCCGTCAAGAGATAAATTGAAAGTTTTGAAAGAAAATGAAAATATTGTTGAGAAAAGAAAAATGTTAAGATCCAAATTGAGGGAATCAAGAATTTTGGCAAAGCTAAAATGCGAGATTCTAAGGAAGGAAATTGTAAGGAATAATTTTGGAAAAGATTTTGAATGTGGATTTTTGAAAAGAAAAATCACGGGACGATTTTTTCTCGGAGTTCGGGGGTGTTTGAACTCGGAAAAACTGGTCACGTTGATCGGAGTCTTTAATTATTCTGAGAATTTTTCGAAGGAAATGAACCATCAAATGCAAAATTCAAAGCCGATGAAAGTCTTGGAGCCGATGAAAGCCCTCTTTTAATGTAAACCCCATTTCTATCCCATAGGTTGTTGTTGTTCGTTCATTCGTATTTTATGTTCTTATTTTGTTTTGAAAAGAAAAGTAAAAAAGGATTTTTTTATTTTGTATTTGTGTCTAAATTGATTGAGAAAAAGAAGAGAGTTTTTTTTTTATTTACTACAAGTGTAAAGGGAAATAGAAAAGGGGATGTGAGGAATCAATCAAAAGTTTTCTAACTTTATTGAAAAATTATGATTGGTTGGGGGCCCGGTCGGGCATCGAATTTTGGCCAGAAAAAGACTCGGTCGAGCCGGCCCGATAAAAATGATGCCCAAAAAATGACTCGAAAAGATGCAGCCCGGCTCGAAAACCTCAACCCTAACATTTACAATAAATTTCAAAATTATTCCTCTTCCTGTGGCTGTTTGAAAAATAGTTTGTCTTAAACAATTTTAAAAAATTTATATATTAATTCCCAAAAATATTAAACAAAAAATCACCGGGTTTTCCTGTATAACCATAAACATTTTCCCCATATTCCTCGTCATTTCCACCCGAACAATTCCATTTTCTAGCAATTTTTTCCAAATCATTGTCATAAAATATTTGTTTTATATTCGCCCCTTCAGGTAAAAATCCTTCTGAATTCTCTCCTTTACCACGAGCTACATCAGAACGAAACAAGTTATGACAAGCAACGATAAAATTTTGTTCAACAGTTGGAATAGGGTAGATAACTATAAAAGCATGTTTAAAACTTGAAAATAAGTTTAATTAAACCTGTTGAAGTAATTAAAGTTGTAAACATTATAAATAATAATTTAAACATCTTAATTGTAAAAACAAGTTTATTTAATATTGTTTTTAAAAGGTTATTATGTTTTTACAAATTATTAAAACATCAACTAAGTATTTATATTGTTTGTAAAACAAGTTTATTTAATCCAAACTTGTTTAAAAACAAGTTTATTTAATTAAACTTGTTTGTAAAAACAAGTTTATTTAATTACAACTTGTTTTTGTAAAAACAAGTTTATTTTTTGCTCCAACTTCATTCAAGTTTATTTTTATGTTTGCTTCAAGTTTTCATTATTAAGCTTAATAAATTTTAATAAATTCATTGTTCAATTTTATAATTAAATGAAAATATCAATTTTATTTTATAAATGTTGCTATAACTATTTAATAGAATTAAGGCTTGTAAGCATAATAAAATTATTTGTATTGTTATTTTTAAATAAAAATTTTCTTCCTTGTTTGTCTATAATTTTAAATTAGAAATGTCTTTGTTATGACAAATATTTATTTTTATGTTTTTTTACAAAAAATTTTATTGAACATATGATAATTTTGTTATGACAAATTACACGACAATTCTATATCATTGGCTAAAAATATTTTTAGCATTCTTTCCATTTTCTTTTCTATATAACAAATAAAGAAAGTGTCCCTTTCGCTTACGACCATACCGCGTTGAAAGCACGCCATCTCGTCCGATCTGGCAAGTTAAGCAACGCTGGGCCTCCTTAGTACTTGGAACGGAGACGTCCTGGGAATCGGGGGTGTCGTAAGCTTTTTTGAAAAATTTTATTGTAAATTAAAATTTTTATTTTTAATTTTATTGTAAAACAAGTTGATTTAAAACTTGGATTGTAAAATTAGTTTATTTATTTAAAACTTAATTGTAAAACAAGTTTATTTATGTTTAAAACTTGTTTAACTAAGTTTTATAACAAAGTTTAATTAAACTTTGTTGTAAAAACAAGTTTATTTAAAACCTAATTCCAGGTTTATTTAATAGTTCAAGTTTATTTAATGATTCATTTTAAAAACAAGTTTATTTAAAACCTAATTGTGAAAACCATTTTAATTAAAACTTAATTGTAAAACAAGTTTTATTTACTTAGATGTTCATTTAAAATTATTTTATATATTTCTCTTTAAACACAGCTGTTGTCATCCCTTCATAAATTCAAGTTTTGTTGTCGATTTTGTGTTTCTTCTTTTCCCTTCCGAAACCTTCCGGCACAAATCCTTTCCATCTTTTCCCATCTTTTTTGATTTTTAGCGCTTAATAGACAAACACTAGCTAAACTTTAAATTCTAAATTATTTTCCTTCGGGAGGCAACAGAAGGAAAAAATTTTTTTGGAGGACAGGATTTCCCCCTTTCCCTTCCCTCATTCTCTTTTTTTCTCGAACAACCAGAAAAAAAATATATTTTTGTTTTATTATAAACATCATTTTTACAACTGTTGTGTTTCTCCATAAATATTTACAACAAAAGCTTTATTGAAAAATGTTTGAGGAAAATGACAAATTATTAAAATTATTGACATTTCAAGTTTTATATGTTTTGCTTCGTAATAATAATCTTTTTCTCGTTTAAAAATTAAATCCGCCTGTTTTACAATTGTTTTAAAATAAAATGTTTTTACTTTTAAATAAACTTGTTCTAAACAAACATGTTTCTAAGCAAACTTGTTTTACAACTAAGTTTTAAATTGTAAACTTAGATTTACAACAGTTTTGAATAAATAAACTTGTTTTACAAACAAGTTTAAATAAACATGTTTTTAAAGGAAAACCTCATAAAAAATTGTTTTTAATTTTTGCCCCTTTTGAAATAAATTTATTAGGTATTTTAAAATTAATAAAGTAATTTTATTTATTTTATTAATCCTCCCTTTTTCCCAATCAACTAATATATTTTTAAGGGAAAAAGAGGATTTCTAGGATTTGTCTCAAATTTTTTTCATTTATTTAAAAAAATTTTAAATGTTTGCTCTTCTCCTAAACAAACAAAGTGCCAAAATAATAATATTTTTGAAACAATTGTTTTTATAGTTATTTTAATTTAAAATTGCTTTTGTTTTTGTTTTATTCTATAATTCGTTTTAAATAATTAATTTGTAAAACAAGTTTATTTAAAACGTAAAATAAGTTTGTAAAACAAGTTTTACATGTTTTACAGTTTATTAAAACAAGTTTATATAAAACTAGATTATAAAACTTATTTATAAAAACTTATTTAAAACTTAATTATAAAAACAAGTATAAAAACTTGTTTGTAAAAACAATTGTAAAACAAGTTTGTTTTGTAAAACTAATTATTTAGATTGTAAAAAACATAAAAGAGTTTTGTAAAACATGCTTATTTTTAATGTTCATTTGTTTCAACTTTTCCAAATGTTTTGTTGATATTCTTGGATGTTTTACAATTTAGTATACTTACATTTATTACTTTAAAACCTTTAAACTTAAAAACTTTCTTTGAAAAAATAAAAACAAAAAATGTTTTTAATGGTTTTATACAATGTTCAAACTTGAATGAGCACAATTATTTATTTTTGCCCCAACAAATAATAATAAAAAAAAATATTTTTCCAAGTAAAAAAAGCCTTTTCCTTTTCCTTTTTTCAAAAAAATGAGTTGAAAAGAGAAAATTATTAAAAGCTGCGCCAACCAAAATTTTCTGCCATTTTCATTGCTACTTGGTAGCTGTTGCTCATTAAACCAGAAAAAAGCTGTGGGTGACAGCTTAGGGGGAGAATGAGGGCTTTTATATTGTTGTTTATACTAGTAGCCTTTTTATAAAAACATTTCCATTTCTATAGCCAATTTATTTGTGATTTTTTTCAACTTTTTTTTTCTTTAAAAACTAGGCTTATATTAAAAATATCTCCTTCACTAATTGTAAAAACATGTTTGTCAAAACATTTAAAATCAAAAACATGTCAGAAACATGTTTGTTTATTTACAACTTGATTGTAAAACTTTATTTAAATAAAACTTTGTGAAAACATGTTTTAATTGTAAAAACATGTTTATTTAATTAAAACATGTTTGTAGAACATTTAAAATTAAAAACATGTTTATTAAAAGAAAGTTTATTTTTTACAACTTTAAAACTTTATTTAAACAAAACTTTTTTGTAAAAACAAGTTTGTTTCCATTTAATTGTAAAAACATGTTTTTAAATTAAAACTTGTTTGTAAAACAAGTTTATTTATTTAAAACAATTTAAATCCTGTATGTTGCGAATTCTCCAAATAAATCCATTTTTAATGCTTTAAATGTCCATTAAAAAAAGCTTCAAAAAACTAATAAATCTGCCATAAAAAACAAAATAAGTGGAAAGAAAAAAAGGCTCAAAACCATAAAAAACTCTCAATTTTCTCCCAAATTTACTCAAAACTTTTCAAAATTTAGCCTAGTATGGACGCATTTTACCGGAAACTGGTTGTACACATAAAACTTTATTTGGATTATCTAAGCCAAAAAATAGCATTCTCCTATGTTGTTTTTATATTCTCTTTTCTCGTTCGCTGTCCTAACTTTCATATTTAAATAATTTTTTTTAAATTTTAATATTAAAGTTCAATTAAAACACGCGAACTTTCTATTAAGTTTTAAATAAGTAAAACATGTTGGAAAACCAAGTTTGTTTAAAATTAATTGTAGAAACATGTTTTTAAAAACAAGTTTGAATAAACATGTTTGTTTAAAACATGCTTCAAAACATTTTCCTGATATGTTTAATAAACTTGTTTTTAAATAAATAAACTTGTTTTAAAACATTTTAAAATTAATTAAACTTGTTTTACAATCAAGTTTTAACCAAGTTTTGTTTTAAATAAAATTTTACGATTTTATTGTTTGAATAAGCCTATTTTAAGAAAAACATTCATTAAAATTTTCCGCTAATTAAAATTTCCTTTATTATTTCCCTTTTATAGACGTATTTAAATGAAGGTGCATATGTACTAAAATAAATATTTTTTATTATTAAAGTTTAGAAAAAAAATTTTTTTTGGATATACTTTAGCCGGTGGCCCACTCAGAAACGGGTCAAAATATATACCATTCGATTCGTCTCGGCGAGCTGAGTCGGAAGGTACCATTCTTTTTTTGCGGAAATTCCTACGAGCCGAGATATAGGTACTTAAAAATCGAAAAACCATAGGGGGGACCAAGCACTTTTTTGGGGTGAAAAATTCGAATATGCAAATAATAGCTCATTCGAAAGAGCTCGTCGAGCTGAGTCGATTGACACCAGAATCAAAGAAATCCGACTTGATTGGACCGAGATATAGACTTCTGAAAACTGTTAATCCAAAAGGGTGATTTTTGGAATTAAAAATTTTTTAACCATATTATAACTCATTTGAAAGAGCTCGACAAGCTGAGTCGAATGACACCAAAATCACCGGGATTAAACAAGTTTAGACAAAGTTACAACACAAAAAACTAGCAACATAAACCTATGGGGCTTCGGCGAGGCGCTTGTGCAAAACTCCGCGCTTCGCGCGGAGTTTTGCGGCACGCGCCTCGCGGGGAGTCTATGGGCGCTGGGTCTGGGCTTGTAACATAACCCTATTCCTATCTCCCTTGCTCTGGACGTATTTGGGGCCTCCGTAGCAGCAAAAATCTCCACAGATGCCATAGGTAAGGAGCTAAAACAAATGGGCATAACTTTGTCAAATCAAGTCGGATTTTATTGATTTTGGTGTCAATCGACTCAGCTCGACGAGCTCTTTCGAATGAGCTATTATTTGCATATTCGAATTTTTCACCCCAAAAAAGTGCTTGGTCCCCCCTATGGTTTTTCGATTTTTAAGTACCTATATCTCGGCTCGTAGGAATTTCCGCAAAAAAAGAATGGTACCTTCCGACTCAGCTCGCCGAGACGAATCGAATGGTATATATTTTGACCCGTTTCTGAGTGGGCCACCGGCTAAAGTACAGCCTTTTTTTTAATTTAAATTTTCTGAATAAAAATTTATTTTTATTTATTTTTCAGAAAGCC